GTTTCCCCATACTAAATGATAGACACTTTTGAGTTTCATACATGGCATCGTAGTTCCGAATATTCTAAACTGTTAATATTAAGTTACTTTCTGGCGGTTGCTTCAACTATATCGGGATGCTCTGCCGGATGTTCCCAGTCGCGACCATTCGTTCTGCGTGTGTCGAGTGCAGTGTCGCCTCACTACTAATCGGATGGAGAAATCTGGGTGGTCGACTGCATGCTGTTTCGATACTTAAATAGTTCTTCCGGCAACTGTTGCTCCCCGTCAAATGCGTTCAACTTATCCCCTCGTTTATGGTTTGGATAAACAGGTTTGTCATTCCGTCTGTTTGTGGGTGGTACGGTGATGTACGTACTATCTGAATATCCCACTTGTTCACCACCGCTTAGAACGCCTTCGATTCAAGCAAGGTTCTTGGTACGTAATAACGTATTTTGATTTTTCGTACGTTGTTGGTACGTTGCATTCGAATACCCGTGACACGGTTTCCCCTGTTTGATCTCTGATCGGCATGGTTGCTACCCATCACGTGAAGTGGGCAATCATCACTGGGATGTAATTGTTTCCGGAGCGACTCAGCGGTAGAAATCCAAAGACGTCCAATTCCCAACACTTCAACAGATCGTCGACTTAAGTTGATCGTATCGGTGGTCTCGGTGTGTCTCTCTAGCAGCTGGCCTGAGAGTTTCGGCAATTCCGAATGTGAGCAGCTACGTTCTTTCGCATAGTTGGCCTAAAAAATTCTCCGTAGCAGTTAAAATATCTCTCAAACTCCACATGAGCATTATCATGAACTAATTGAATCACCGGTTCATGTTGATTTTGTGAAACAAACATTAGTTTCATTTCGGGTCTGCAACCACCAAATTACCAGTTGCGACATGAAACCGGTCTCCGATAATGAGGAGTTCCTACAACTCTGTTTTTGTTGTTTCCACCTTGGTTCCAGATTGTACATGTGTACACACTAAATTTATAAATACATCCATCCACTGCTTTTTCAGTAATTTCCTAACCTCCAATTTGACAGCAGATACAGGCATCACATTGTCTGGCAGGACCTCACCCGAAGCTGTGCGCGACAGCATGCTTGGAAGTACGTTTTTCGTTCTATCTGTGTGTTCGTTGTTAAAGTAACTACTTGGAGCAGATAAGCCCATGGTGCAAGACGTCCCCTTATTGTCACCGCTTATTATAGAGGTTAACGATCATTGATGACATGGAATTTAATCCCTAAGATGAATGTTCTCCGCTCCTTCAAATTCCACACCAAAGCAAAATATTCCTTCTCGGTCGTAGAATACTATTGCTCTAAGACCGTGATATTCTTCCTTAAATTGGCTTACGCTGGCCCGTGGGATTAGTGGTATCTGGTGTTCAACCCAGTTGCAGAAACCGTAAGCACAATTTAAATCGATGAACAAGTCCGCATACCTTCGCACCTCATTCCGTATGGGCAATCAGGTAGAATATAAAACTGACCCATTTGGTTAGAATATCCCGCGCTCAGTTCAACTGTTTCGTCGCCCAAAATTAGCAGGTCACCTCTCAAATCGATTCTGGCTCCGAGTCGCTTGTGGATATCATTACAGACTATTGTTTCCGCGGCCCTCTCCGCGGAGAACGTCGAATGACGGATAAGCGTTGACCCTATCCTATATTTCGACCGCTGTGCTCTTGTCACCTTCAAGCCGTATTCTCTACACATCTTCATCACATTTGGTAACTAGCTTAACGGAGCCCCGTCGAACATTCGAGTAACTGGAACACCCGCGCCGAGTCCCCTATGACTCGGACTGACACTTCTTCAATCGTTACCTCTAGGACCGGCACTCAAACAAACGAAGTGGGTAACCGAGCCATGCGTTTGGGGCCGCGTGAGATGATTCAAACAGGAAGGAATGCTAACAAAAGGAATATCGAAAAATTCGACATCTCTATGCTTGGGTGTAATGTTGCTCCTTGGCTGCTATGATGCATGTAAGCCAGTGATTGTTGCCCACACAATAATCACGTGACGCTAGCCGGGTGTCCAGCATACCAAATGAGGAAAGCCGAGGTAACACATTTCGGACCAAGTGCACTCGAGGTATGCTGGAGGGTTTCTCACTTCTTTCGTCATATCCAGTCCAGCTGTGGCCCATTTAACCACGTTGTTGGGGCGCTCAGCATACAACGAGTGTTCGTCTTGATCACAACTAATTCGCTATAGCAGTACTGTCACGCCGTCAACTCACAACGGCTTGGATAGTAAAACGCATCACGCGCCGGCAAGAGTAATTCAGACAATGCCATCCAGCAAAAGCACCAACGTGTCAGTGAGCTATGAGCTGAGAATTGAAGGAAGCGACAGTAAAGGCCAGTGCCACGAGAAGCGGCCGGCATGGAATTCTACATACGTTGCGATTCACCATCGCTCCGCGTGCGTCCCACATACACGCACACGCACATCGACTGAGTCTAGTCCGTCACGAGTGCAATGTGGATTAGCCCTGAGTACACTTACCCACAGTGCGACGCCGTATCGAACGTGACCTCCTAAACACGGACTTCACTAAGACGCAACACTCGGCGAGGTTTGTGTATCGCGGGCTCATAATTGAACTACTACATGACCGCCGCTTAAAAGATAAACTGCTTGCACATTTGCGAATGTCAATCTGGAGCCATGGCAATATTTTTAAGACTAGATCCCACACAGCACCGGAGACTAACGGGTTAACAGTGAAGAAAATATAGATTCTACGTCGTAAATCTAAAAAAGGTTGTGGAGGTGAATTACCGAGCAGTCCCGTCTAAATCACAGAAGACGAGAGCAAGGTTAGGGAAAATTTTTACTGGATTTCTTCAAATCTAATGAATGTCAAGTGGTCATTTGCTTCCACTTTCCTATTCGCCGTAGGTAATAACAAGATAGGGGAGCAATCAACGGACCGGACGACCACGAAGTATTCCAGCACGTTCTTAGTGCGATAAAAATTTTGAAATGTTGTCGAGATGTTTCACTACGCCACGGGCATACGTACATGTGTAGACATAGGGCACTCCGATTGCAGACCAGTACTCAGATACCCGAACTTAGTGTATACGTACAGAGGGATCTAGACTGTTCAGAAAAATGTGGTGTAGTTGCGAACTGAGGCAACTAGCATGTCGGTGGGCTGCGAAGCGTATATAGGAGAATTGATCCATAAATATTCCCGATGATGCGCAACTTTTAAGTGTGCCCACGCGGTGGATACGCTATCCGAGCTTCGCAAACATGAATGAAGCGAGAAGTGGAGGTGATGTGCACACCACAACGCAGGGCAAGAAACTACGTCAAGTGTGGTAAAGTTCGTCACACTAGCAAAGCCTAAGTTACTGGTACTTTTCAGCGGAATCTATCGAGGACTACACGGTGATCTCCTGTTCATCATCAACAGCAGTACATCGGCCATTTGAACTAATGCTTCACTGCCATAGAACCTTGATGACCTAAGCAATAAAAAATAATTAGTGGGGGAGAATAGAGACTTATCTGATAACCTTATTGCATTAAGCAAACATTCAGGGTCAAGGCGCCTACACCTAGCGTTAACAACACACCTTCACCAATAGCTGGCTATCATGCAAAGATAAGCCGGCATCGGTGAGACAGCTTCCTTGCGGCTTTGACCGCCCGTCGTCATAATCAGCCATTACCCCGCATATAACTCAGCACCAAACACACTTTAGCCAGACAATCCGATTAGGAGACGGCAGTGGATGCGCCACTGGTGGCGTTTGCTAGCCATGTGTTGTAAAGTCTCTAGCCAAGCACAAGGCGAGTCACGTGGACTCCAGCTCGGAAGGCGAGACGGGCCAACGATACTAAGTTTGGGCCTCAGTGATTACATTTCCCGCTGCCAAGTCAACTTCTGTTCACCTCGAGCCTCGCGCCACCCTACAGACAATTCAGGGTGGTTTGTTCCACCGCGAGATTGTTAACCAGCAAGACGATATCCTCCACATAATCAAGATCAACTAGCCTCAACGCCTACATCGCGAGATTCGGCAAGTTAACACTCCATGATAGAGTCCACGAAAAAATTGAACAAGAGGGGGAAAACCAGCCAAGACTGACGAACGCCATTTGTTGTCGGAACTCTATCCGACGGGTCACTGCGGAACCTTACGCTGCCTGTAGGGTTTGAGTATATAGCACGCAAGAAATTAGTGCCTAACTATTGTGTGACCACACTCACACATAATGTCATTTGCTGTAACTCAGCCATAACACCAGGGTCAGAGGTAACTGCCTGAGCCTGCTTGAAGAATATGCTCGTTTAGTTGCTAACGGGGATTGAAAACCATGGAACTCTATTTCCTCCACTCATCGGCGCACTGACGATAGACATCAGGCACCGCTATGAACGAATCAAACGTCATTTAGCAGCTATACACTGAGGTGCCAGTGGGCTGCTATAAGTACTAAGACACGGATTAACGGTGAAATCCATAGTCAGTAGAAGTGCTAATCATGAAGGAACACAGAGTATACAATAAACCATCAGCCTGAACTTATACTGTCAATGCACATTGCAGGTTAAGGCTAATTACACTAACTCATCGTCCCATAAAACACTGGACACGCCCTCCTCTCGGACTGCACTCATTTGCTCTAGGCTGGGAGGGGGGTATTTCGGGCTGACAACGTACTGCCTCGAGAGCGCCAACATATAGCTTGAAGACAATAGTGCGTGAAAAACCACGAATGTTTGTCCGTAGAATCTGAACATTTTCAAGACTAGATCCCACACAACTCCCAAGACGAGGAGTCTGTTAATGAGTGGGGAACAGTTTTGCACATCGCAAGTTAAACGAATCAACAAAATTGTACTCCCAAACCAGCCTTTTCCAATGATGGCAAGTGAGTGTACCTCTAGGAATCAATTATATGGGAATGTTCAAATACAAAGAGAGGAATACAGAAAATAATACAGATTCGAGTTAGAATATTCTCGAACAATAGCAGCTCACACGTTCGATGGTGTAAATGCGACATCAGTCAATACGCGTAGCACAGCCCCGAGTACATCAGCAACGCGGTTCGAAAATTCTGACGCACTTGATGTACTGATGTCGGAGGATACCGCACGCAACAGGATGGGGATCCACACATTCTTCAAACGTTCGATTCGGTCATCAGGTGGAGCACATGCCAGAGCCTGTACCAACCAATGAAGCAGACGTCCACTTGAAAACATCACCCACCCTGGCCAAAATGTCAGTCGCTTTTCGTCAGCTTGTGCCCTCTCACCTCCATTGGGGTCTTCCTCCCCACCATTACATGTGCTTAGGACTTCCAGCAAAGTCGTCAGGTGCTGCAACTCCACGAACACCAATTGTAACTCATTCAGCTGATGAACAATCTCGATTGAGTAGCGTTGGTGACCATTTTTCGCACATTCACGTTTCGCATCGCTAACAATTTGACCATATCCTTTACACAGTTCCGCCAATTTCTTGTCAGCCATGGTTTCTTCTTGACCACGGAAGTCTTCATAACGAAATCCAGTCAACATGGCACACATGGTAAAGGCTAGCGCGACGGGGTTTTCGTTCACTGGAATCCGGGCGACCTCCTTAATAGATGTATGTCGCAACCACACGATTAGCACACAAATGATACCCACTGTCTGCGGTGAGTCACAAACCACGCTGCTCAGTCCAATGGACAAATACTGGCTGAAAAATCGGTCGAAACACTCTACGGTCGACTCACAACGGGGCACAGTCGCAACTGGCAAATGAACAGAGAACGTGGACATTCGCCTGCCCTCACGACGGCTCTCTATCGGCTTGCCATCCGTCAACCAGCGGAGTTTGTGCGAACAACCAATGTGGTTCTCAAGTTCAACCAATAAGCGATAGTTTAGCGATCGAATATGCTCACTCACAGAGTAAATGGAGTTCTCGTACTTCAAATCCTCGTACAGAATCCGTAGTACACTTCCACCACGTACGTATAGCGCATCAAGCAATGAAGTGGATATGCGACCAGTTCGGAAGCCATGACTCAGTCTTCGTGGCCACTGAAAGCAGAAATCGGTGTTACCTCCAACATCCCCAGCTTTCCAGTGTGACAATGTCTGAGCGAGCAAAGAAACCGCCTCATCCACCGTCCTCACTGAGATAGAATCAAGGTTAACAGGTGGACTTCCATGAGGTGAGTGTCGGGCAAACGCTGTGTCAGTCGGGAGGTTCAATTCATTGGCCAGTTCGGAACCACCGGTGACCGGATCGAGAAAGTATCCACGGATACACTGTGCAATTTGTTTTGTAATGTCGATTAGCTGTAAGCTAAAATATCCGGACAGAATTTGACGTAGTGCACCTGAGGAATTGTTCGTGAATTGGCTCAACCAACCCAGCACAGCGTGGACCCGCTTCGCGCTGTATGGCATTTTTGGGGGCTTTTTTATTAAGCGTTCCACACCATCAGGAAGGTGAACGTTCGAAATGGTATCATTGTCCGACATCACTGCAAGCAGTGGAAGCATAGTCGGTGTCACTCTGTTCAAACAAGACTGAGATTGATGGAAAACGGAACATGACAATCCGTAGCACGTCGCAGACTGAGTGCCACAATCGGCGCACTTTTTTGGCAACTGGTAACATGTGGAACTCAGTGAAGACAGTGGGATCACTCGATAACGTGATGGGACAGGCGATTGAAATATGTAGAAGTCAGAATCGTTACTCACAAGAGGACAATCCAGAAGCACTGCGAGTTCAGCCATTTGCAAATCTGCTTCGCGAGTGCCGCAGACGTGTGGGACACCACACATATCGAGTAACTCCATGACAACTTGATGAGCCAGTTTTGGAAGTAGGTCCGCAGGGGACGCCATACAGTCTGCATCCGCAAATGTTCGGGCCTCCTGCACAAACAGTGACAAAGCGTTGATCCGTTCGGAGTTGCGCTTCAGTAAGGTCTCCCGTTTGCTGCCCTGTAAGAGCAATGCAAAGAAAATGAGGCGTGATGTAAAGCATACCAATAGGTAATGAGTAATTAAGGAATGGACGCTTTTTTAGTATCGTTTGGGCAAACCTTTCCCGTAGATTTTTGCTATTTAAAAGTAGATAGCAATTATGTCTAAGGCATAGAAAGTACCTAGGATCGAACAGCAGAAACATGTACACTTAACATCGAAACCTTCAGACGTTGGATTAACAAGTGATGTTGGTTGCACCTATCTACTGAGTGTTCACTATAGGCAATTCATTAGTTCAGAGCTCACAGGATGTTTTAACTCTGCGTCGCTGCTTCCTATAATAATCATCATCGTATATGTATTGAGAACCAACGAGTCATCATGAAACCTCATGTAGAATTCGAAAATATGCTGATCCGATCGCCTACGGTAATCGTCTCTTCAAATGGCGCCGAATATCACAAGAGACTGACGGCTAAGTGGAAATTATCGTTCGGGCAAATTCATGCTGCTCGACTTATTGGATTGAGGATCACGTTTTGATTTCGTGGATACCGTGCGCGATCTAACTGTCACGGATCTGGCCATGTACTCTCTCGATGTGACTTCACATTTTACAAACGTGCCGTTATTTGAAACTACAAATTGCATCTGTGATTTTGTTGAAGAAACCCAGGTGGCTATTGGCATACCTACGGTGGCGCTAAAGGAACTGCTGCTTCGGTGTACTTGCAACATCCAGTTTCTGTTTAACGGTGAATTGTATCGACAGCACGAAGGAAGTTGCTATGGGCTCTCCACTTGCACCGTTTCTCGCTGACATATTCAGGGGTATGCTGACCATGGTAAGTTGAAATCTGTCATCGAGGAACCTCCGTCTATACCGCCGTTATGACGAGGAATTTTTCGTACTGCTCCACTCCTCTCCAACCATCGAAGATCTTACCAATAAATTCCATCAGGTGCACGAAGCACTGAAGTTCACATCCGAAGTAGAGGTGAATGATGCTTTTCACTTCCTCGACGTGGCAATGTAGAGACTCGAGAGTGGCACGTTACAGCGCCAGGAGTATAGCTAACACTCGTAGAATGGAAATACATACGTTTCCACAGTTTCGTACCATTCGACTTAAAAAGGAACCTGATCCTCAGTCTAATGAGTCGAGCAGAGTGAATTCGCTCAAAGGAAACATTTCCCGAAGAATTGAAGCGCATGCGTTCGACGCTGAGAGAAAATGACTACCCTGAAAGTTACCTGAAAGGCAACATGGGACAAAGAAAGAAGGCTCCCGTAACACTCACAGTCCAGAGAAAACCCATATTTCTCCAACTGACATACAAGGGAGAAATCGCTGCTGAAATCATAACTCGTCCTTGTTCTCATGCCCTCAGACACACTTTCCTAGCAGCTAAAATGCAAATCAAGTTCCCCGGTAACCCAAAGGTTAGAACTAGCCATAAATACAAGAGACCCGTCCACGCCAAAGCAATGTGTATTTATTGTTTCTCCTGTTCTTGTGCGGCACAAGACCTAGGCCGAACGAGGAGGCGCCTGTCTGCAAGTGTTAAAGGACACATCCTGTTTGGCTCATGACCGTTTTTCGAAAACAAACCAACTCATCCATAGTCACGCATCTCGACCACACTGGCCACGACATCAACTTGGGTGAGTCATTGAAAACGCTCTATCAGGTATTAGACAATAAATCCAAGTGCGTTCATAAGTGTTTGCTTGAACCCGAGGAGGTCATCGCGATTTGACTGTATGAGCCGGAGTTGTGTGTTCAGAAACGGTTTCCTTCAGATGTTAAAACTGCCTTGGCGCAACCGAACTGCTACACACGCACACGAAATGGAGTGCAGGCTGCATTTCTGACCTAACGGATAGTGCCTGTGAACTGAATTTGTCTTACCAACCTTTATGTTGTCTCAAACATATGGTTTTTTTATACATATACTTGTACAAGTCTTAAGTGCAATTATTGACTACATAGGTTCGCTTGCATCGCAAATTAACAGTATTTCCTCTTTCTTTAACACCTTTTTTCTTATTACGGTACCTGTAGAGCAATTAGATTAAATTTTGGGGGTATCCTTTCCATACGGACGTACTGTGCACAAATTTTCTTTATCCTCCGGCCTTTCTGGATCTGTGCATGAGCGATTCCACTGTGTCGTGTTTGTATGCGACCTGGGCGAAGCTAGGAATATGCTTTCACTCCTCAATGCAGGTCGCCTTGCTGTAAACGGTGCGCTGGGGTGTATCTCCCTTCCATACCCAAACAAGGCACACTGCCATATTGTTCCATCTCATGAGACAACGATACGTTAGGGTGAATGGAATTCCGAGTGATTAATAGCAGGGTAAAATATTCGCTACTGGTGAATATCAGAATGTCATCCACATAAGGTTTGTACAACTTCACTTCACCTATACTGGCAGCAACTTATCTTTCGATCAAACTGAGAAACGTGTGCACCAAACTCGGTCCCAGTGAGCTGCCCGTAGCGACTGCATCGATCTGTTTGTAGTCCGTACCCCACAGGCAACCCTTACATTTTATGCGTCAATTAAAACCAAGTCTCTCAAATACTTGAAAAGGAAACCCACAAATATATGTTTTGGCTACGGATGAAATGACACAAATCGTCAACTGTGTCACGAAGAGGTACAAATGTGAATGTTGAATGCTCCGAGTCCAGTGGGTTTTGTTCCAGCGTTTCCGTCAGTTCAAATGGGTCAGTTACTGCATGGTAAGGAGTTTACGCAAGCGGTCGACCAGTTTCACAAGACATCGAAGCGACTTCGAAATAGCGTGAGCTGTTCACGCACATGTTCAGGCGCTGTGAGCAAGCTGACTTGTGCAATCTGTGTGCGTCCCTCATTCATGGCCTCCACGTCTCAGCCGGTTTCAGGTGTCTGTATTCCGACTCCGTGGTGTATCCATGTAGTAAGAGGATCTGGATTTTACTTGTCACCTACTTAGCAACTAAGATGATATTGCTCGATGTTTTGTCAT